ATCAACCAACTCTCACATTCAATTCAATTACTTCAAGGTGTGGTCACACATATGGGAAAATGATCTAGGCCAATAGGTCTTGTGTGAGGCAAAAGGTTTAAAATATATGATCTTGTAGATTTCAAATGCTATGGCGGTTAGTACTCAACAGAAATAAATGCAACATACTTTAAATTTAACGTTTATAAGATGAAGAATCAAACTTGCACGACCCTTAGTCATTGGTTTAAGGATATTTGGGATGTGACTTACTTGATTACTTGATTCTATGATATGATAAAAAAAAAAGAGTTGAATCAAAGAATGAAAGAAAAGAATGAGTTATGCCTAAAAAAGAATATTGAAATAGAAAAATACATGTTTAGATTAAGAAAAGCCCATAAGATTTTTTTTTTTAAATGTACTCATATGTTTTAGTAACGCAATTCAATGGGCCAAAATGTAAAGCCCAAATGTGCGAAACTAATAAAGATACTTAAGGGTAATATAGACTTTTACGGTTTAAATTAGGGCTTCCTTCAATGTATATATAGAGCAGTTATGATTTGTTGAAATACAGACAGTGGTTACCTACTCATTGTGTTCATACATTGCTAGATTCTTGTCAGAGCTACCATAAACCACTGTGAATTTGAGCCACCTTAGCTCCCTAAAGAAAGAGATAAGGTATATCTGATCCATTTTAGAAGAGAAGAGAAACACAAAGATAATACTTGGTGCATGTATTTAAATTGACATTACAATACATTTAAATTGCTGAGCAAACTATGTTTATTAACAATGGTGCTCCCTCTTTTTCCTTTGTCATGTAAGGTTTAAGTGGCATTTGAGCATGGAGTTCAAGTCAAACTCTAGGTATGGTATTGGACATCTAGAAATGTTTTTTTTTTGCATGGGGAACAAATAAAAAGTTAATACAATAATAATATTAAAATTGAAATCTAAAAACATGGAGGAAGAGAAAGACCGCTCAAAATGTTTTTTTTGCATGGGAACAAATAAAAAATATAAGAATTTTCTAAAAAGTTATTATACCCCACCTTCCTATGCCCTAGATCTGCCCCTGGTATTTTGGGATACATGTGTCTCAAAAACCTATGTGCTTGATTTCAGTTTCCAAGTAATGTTTAAGATTTGGAGATTTATATGTCTTGAGCCTCTATGGAATTGATCAACGAAAGTGATTATGTGTCCAAAACTTCATTTATTTGCAAAACCCTTAAATTGGGGCCATGAAGCTATCGTGATAAATATATGTTTTCCATAGTTTTTATTTAGTCAAGTGAAAATGGTGATACATATTGAAAAAAGTTTTATGATCATGTAAATGCCACCTATAACTTATCCAGAGTGGATATATGCATTGTGTTTGTGTTCGGTACAATCAAGTGTTTTTGAAGATGTGTTGTTTCTTTATGCCTAAGCATTTTTAAGATGGGTTGAAGATTTAGGTCTTTTGTTGAAACTAATGGTCAACGTTATTTCAAAGCTTATATTGTGGTTTTAAGATTCAGTTATTTATTGAACCTGACAACTACTTTTTTTACATATATTTTTTTCAGTTCTTCAAGTGCTAAGGGACAGACGATGGACAGCAACAATCCTGAAAACAAAAGTAACCAAACAATTTTGAATGTGGTTCCGTTAAACAGTGCGCCCTACGTCGGTCCATCAAGCAGTTATACATCATCCATGTTAGCCAACAAATCAAACGATAACGCAGAAAAAGCAAGGTCTCCCATGATATTGCTGCCTAGCGGATCAATTCAAGAAGTGTATGACTTACTCTCTCAAAACAAAAACGGAGTTGTCCTCACAGGAAGTGCAGCTTTGGGGAAAATTGGACACACCGTTGGTTTGGTGGATATCGCTGTGTCTGACGAGACTTACTTCTTTCGTGTTTCGCTGCCTGGTGTTGTAAGAGAAGAAAGTAAGTCTCCTATCATTCTATGTCTTTTTTTTTGGTCTGAAATCTTTTGTTGTGAAATGCAACTTAATGTATGAGTCATCACACTCGGCTATTGGTTAAAATCGTATTTACATGTCTAAAACTCGAATTAATTGGTAATAAAAACAGCAAGTCGGTATTGCTTAGTGTTTTGATTTTAGGTCACAAAGAGATGAAGAATATGTAGTTAAGAAGTTTACTAGATTGTTTCCATTATCTGGTTATTGTTTTGTTGCGAATAAATTGTTTGATGTCCAACTTACAGAGTATTTCTCATGCGAGATTTCGGACGATGGTACGGTTAGTATAAAAGGAGTAACAGCGACAGGAGAGAAGACTGTGTGCAAACATTCACAGGTCTTCAAGATGCTTACACAGAACATGTCTCCTCCAGGCCACTTCAGCATTTCATTTCCGCTTCCTGGTCCAGTCAAAAGCAAGGAAGTCACTGGTAACTTTGGACCAGATGGTGTTCTTGAGTGCGTAGTGAAGAAGAAGCTGAACAAGGACTGAATCTGAGATCTGACTCGAGGATTCAGTTTCGCTGAGTTTAAGAGTAAGCATGGACAAGAACTAGTGTTTCTCCGACATCTCTTTTTATTTTATTGCTATGGATAAAAAACTATTGCATTTAAGTTAAACTTACCTGAGACATTGTTTGTTTGTTGAAATGATTCGAATTTTTATTTGAAAAAATAGTTTAAGAAGATTAAGTCTTCAGACATATATTGATGAAATTGGGTTTTAATTTGCTTTTTCATTTATTTTTTCACGTTGTCTAATGAACCTAGGAGATACATAATATTCTTAGAATAATTAAGAGAATCTGTAGAGAAAGCATTATCCTAAATGAAACCGCTGATCCTATCTCCAATCTGAATAATAGAAAGACTTGGCATTTCTTCACTGTATGAAACCATCCCCAGAAAGCAAAACATTTCCTCATTGATTATTAATCATTAGGTCAATGATTTTTGGGGCATATGACTTACTTGATGTATGTTGTGATAGAGAAAGAGTTGAACCATGAGGTTTTATTAGCCTAATTCGATTGCTCATATCTAGAGAATTTAATGCACAAATGTGTGAAACTCATAAAAAAATTCAAGGGTTTTGCTTTTTCAGATATTGCATGTATTCACATTACAATTACATCTACAGAGGAAATTGGGTTTTGCTTTTTCAGATATTCTCACGTTGTCTAGTAAACCTAGGAGAGACATTAAACTATTAGAATAATTTAGAGAATCTTTAAGAAAAGAAAACCGTTGAAACAATACAAATAACTTGTTATGTGTTCTCTACATGAAGCTATCCCCCACAAAGCAAAGCATTTTCTCACGTTTACTTGAGATTTGGAAAATAAATTTGTCAGAAAAAGTATATACAAACAATACAGAAAGGGACCATAACAGTTAGGCAAAGTAAAGGAATAACCCAACCGCAAAGAAAAAAACTTATAAAAATATCATTTGTTCATTACTATATAAAGAATTCACTTGGATACCTTCTATTCAACATAACCTCAAAGATCCTTATTCCAAAATCAAAACCAAGACATTTGAAGAGATGGAGAGAAAATCTGATCTTGCTGCTACCAATCGCATCTACGATGAATTCGAACCAATCTCAAACTGGAAAACAGAACAAGGATTCGAAACTCTCACTATTTACCTTCCAGGTATATAATTAACTCAACAAAATCTCGCGTTTAATGTTTTTTTTGTTTAAATCTCGGTTCTTGAATTGTGTTAACCATTTTCTTGAAATAATAGGGTTTAGGAAAGAGCAACTTAAGGTGCAAGTAACCACAACAAGGAAGCTAAGAGTTATGGGAGAACGTCCTGCTGGAGCCAACAAATGGATGCGTTTCCGCAAGGAGTTTCCTATTCAATCAAACACCGACGTTGACTCCATCGTTGCCAAATTTGAAGGCCCAAATCTTGTTGTCAAGCTCCCTAGACCCGAGCCAATAGCCAAACAAACCTCACCTATTCATACAACAGCCACAAAACCTCCTCTGGTTCCTAAGGAATCCGAGAAGGTTCAACCACCAAATCCAACAAGAGAGAAGAAAGAAGCAGAACTCGCAAAACAGACCGAGAAGGTTCAACCGCCAAAGCCATCAACAGAGAAAAAAGAAGCTCTTAAAGTAGCAGAGAAAAAAGCTTGTGACGGTATACTTAACCAAGATTATAGAAGTAAAGTGAATGCATACAAGGAGAATCTTGGAGGTTATGTTGCATTGATGAAGAACAACAAGACCGCCATTACAGCTGGTATGCTTGCTCCAGCTGCTGCTGTTCTGTTCCTGTCCATTGGCTTCTATGCTGGTCGAATGTTTACTTCTTAATAACCAGTTTACAAATGTATAAACTTTGCATATTTATAAGAAAACATATTAATAACACAAACAACCAACAAAGGAACAAATCTTGTTCTTAATCATAAGAAGTACTAAATAGTTTCCATTCCAAGAAACAAATTGTCCACACAAAAGAAAAAAACGAAACTTAATACCATAATAAAACTAATTTCAACCTCTCTTAAGCTACAACTTATTAAGCAGCTTATCAACAGTCTGATTCTTTTGAAGTCCCATCTCCAACATTTTCCAACGCGTCATAAGAAGCATATGATCATGACTTCTTTCGTGTTCTTTGAGCCTTGTGGAAACATTTGTCCAGTTGTTATACCCTGTAGTTACCAAGTAGCCACCACCATTTGTCTGGTCATCTCTGAACAGCTTGCAGCAAAAGCAAAAAGCTTTATCTAAAGATTTTGAGTAAACCAGCCACTGCCGATTTACTTTCTCTCCATTCACCAAGTCTCTTATGTAGAGCGAATGCGAGAAACGCCTACCATTCGCATTCTTGGGAAACTGATAATCACTCGGTAGCCTTGTCGCTGGACCCTTCTCAACCAACAAGTCTCTCATTTTCGTGTCGACCACGTTTCTCCAGTTTCCAGGATCAGACATATCTTCAGAGAGATGCTGTTCCTTCTTCTGCTCACTTTGATGCAAAACCTCATCTTTCTCTTTCTCAGGATCGTCTTTACTCTGAAAAATACCATCTTTACCTTCAAAGTCGTTTCTTTGAGCAGTGACGCTAGATGTTTCGGGTTTCTTGAGAAACTTTAACATAGCATTGGCTTGAGACTTGACAAATTCTTGTATTTTCTTTCTCTTCCTTCGTTTTTCAGCTCCACCTGGTTGTTTTCTAAGCCCCAAAGGTGCCATTTTTTCTTCTTCTATGGTTTGTACAGAGTAAACAATACTGAATTAGACATATATTCGTAACTTAAATATAATTCTAAACTCCAAAGTCATAAAAAAAACTGAAACCGTAACTGTTAGAACTATTTGATTCTACATCTCACACAAATGACCCATCACACTATCACAGTAAGATATGAATCTGGCGTACCTGAACAGAAGATGGAACAAAAATCACCGAAATCGACCGTGACGGCAGAGAATCCACTTAATCGTCGTTTAGGTCTTTTGTCACTCGAATGACGAATCTATTTGATTCTGTAACCTTTTTTCGTTGATGAAGAAAAAAAGCCCGCGAAAGTTTTAACCTTTTTCCCTCCCACGAAATTTTCTTACAGTTTGGCCTCAAGGTTAAAAGTGTTTTTAAAAGATGATGGGCTTTCTACACAATGACTTGACTTGGCTTTGTTGTGGGCCTATGTAATTAGATATTATATCCTTATACTTAGCGAGAGTAAATAACAAGAACAAGAACAAGAACAAACACAAGTTTCATATAATTTTTGATTTATCTATGATTGTGACGGACGGAGGACTAAAGTCCAATTATTACAACAGGTATTGATACAACATACACGACACATGACACATAAGTTTTAATACTTAAAAATATTAGGAATACAGATAGAACAATAGTTATTAGATTTCCATGTTGGGTACATGATTATTGACTTATAGTTATCGCATCTTCTTAATTTGTGATATTTGTGATATTTGCGATGAACTTAGAGTACCATCTGCCAGATGCCTTTTGCCTTCGATCGCTAGGATTAGTGAAGTTGACCCAATTCATACCAAATCGGATAAAGAAACCATTTCCAAATTCGTAATTGTCCATCGATGACCATGCAAAGTATCCTGCTACGTTGCATCCATCCCTATAATATATTAAAGATATGTTCATGTCCATTACCACTAATAATCGTCGGGAGAAGTATATCAAATAAAAAAGGAATTATATACAACTCACTCTATGGCACATTTGAGACATGCAAGATGGCTGCAATGGCTTTGAATCCGTTTGTTGTCGGCAAGAGCAACTGCAAGCGTCACGTTTCCAAAATCAGCAGCTCCTGAAAATTAAATAATTTAACACAAGATTTGATGATAAACACATACATTTAGGTATTTTTATTGGATAAGTAAACATTTGAATGCAATACAAAATGACATGTACATACCCTGTTCGGTGATGTAGGTAAGTGGGTTTTTGTAGTTGTCTTTGATATAATTTAGAATCATACGGAATCCTGGAGGATAATACACGAAAGCAGGATCCTGTAGAAAAGGAAATAGGAAAAAATAAGTAGAAGAGAGTCAAATCAATGTTGTAAAATCTTCTAAATATGAAAAGGATTATATTCCAAATTGAAGTTGATACTAGCCTGAACGCCAACAGGAATTCCATTGCGATAAACTGAAATCAATTTGTAGAAAATGAGATTAATTATCAAATTAAAAAAAAAATGACAAAGTAGATTTACTTACATCCAATAGTAGTTTGTGGATCGGTTAAGGAACTACGGTTTGTCGGAATAGTAAAATTAGGTATATTGGACGCATATTGTGTAAAGTAATAGTTCAACCCTAGAAAATCAAGTGATCCTTTAACTAAATCTGATTGTTCGGGTGTGAATATTGGCAATCTATCTCCAACCAACTCTTTCATTATCTTTGGATAGTCTCCATACACCAGTGGATCCAAGAACCTTCATAGATGCACAAACATATTCATAAATAAAATTATTTTTTAAAAGTATATATGTCTTGTAACAATAGATAGGTAATATATGAGAATCAATTAATCAATCGATATATACCATCCAACGATAAAATCGACTTGTCGTTTTGCAGCAGCCTTGTCCTGCTCGCTAGTTTCGTTTAATGGCACGAACCATCTTCCGATCAAGGTTATTGCTATCTTACCACCTTGAGTTACCTGCATAAAGTTATATGAGGTTATAAGATACAAATTAATATACTACACAAAACTAAAATAAAACTTATATATACAAATTATGATTGGGTTTATGTATATTTGTATCGATATACCTTATATTTACTTCGGTATAGAGCTACAGTTTTCGCATGAGCTAGAAGTTCGTTATGTCCAACTATATAAGGTTCGGTTCCAGAATTTCCTCCAAGTTCACAGCCAGTGCACCGTCCCGGTGCATGCCCTCCATCTGCATAACCTCTGGTTGCGAAAGTGTAAGGCTGGTTGAAAGTGATCCAAAATTTGACTCTGTCTCCCAATCTTTGGAATAGAAGCTCTGCATAGTTTGTGTAATCCTCCCTGTTCATGTATCATACATATTAAATATGGAATAGATCATGATGCGATGTACATAACCAAATAAAAGAATGAAACAAGTATTCAGTTTAGAATGTAAAAATATATATATATATATTTCCTGGACTTACACTATACGTGAGTGTAGGAACCCTCCGTATGCGTCTTCTAAAGCTTGGGGAACATCCCAATGAAAGATAGTGACATATGGTTCTATGCCTGTGAAATCGTATTCACCCAAGTTAAGTGTCTATATCACATATATGATTAAAATCGCATATTATGACTTGGAATTTACCATTCGCTTTTAACTCGTTGATGAGATTGCTGTAGTATGTTATACCATTTTCGTCCACTCCTCCAGCGAGTGTTCCCTCTAAGATTATAATATAATCACAATATGAGTTAATTCAGCCATATAATATATAAAATTCTTTTGTTAATTAGTGTAGTAATGAAGAATTAACAGGCTGAGATAAATATATGTTTTTTTATTTACTTGGTAAGACCCTTGACCATGCAACTGAGAATCGGTATGCTTGAACCTTCAGTTTTACTAGTAATGCGACATCCTCCTGTTTAGGTTACATGAAAGTTGTAAAAATTACGTTTCTAAATTAAAATGGAACAAAGATCATACATATATGCACACATTCATGATCATTACTAATACCGGCCTCTCACCTTGTAAAGATTATACGAATCACAAGCAAGGTCTCCTGTAGTTTTATCAGGAACTTTTTCTGTATGTAACAAACCAAGATATGAGATGACTAGTTCTTTGGTGCATATTAATTATACAGTACGTGAATGATGTTATGACCTGGATATCTATGAGTGAAATAGTCCCATCCATTAAAAGCTCTATGTGCAGCACCTTCAATCTGGTAGAACAAATCAAATCAATCAATCATAGTATTTTGTAAATAAGTATTTTGTAAATAACTAGTTATTTGACAAATGTTTTTTTTTTTTATGTTGACCAAAGGCAGTTTGAGAAATGTGACAGCTAGAAATCGATACCCAAAAGCCATCATACCTGATATGCAGAAGTAGCCGCACCAAAAGTGAAATTCTTTGGAAATCCAGCTCGGTTGAAGAAAAGAGTATCGTCACAGTTGAAGGGTTCTTTAGCCTTGCATTGTGGATTGCAGACAGTTTGGCTACTCGAAACGACAAAGAAAATGACAAGAATGGCTATTGAGTAGAGAGCTTTAGAAATTGCCATGGATGAGAGATTCATGGTTTCTTTGATGGGTTTTCTGTGTAATTTGATGATAATTAAATGATGAACTTGGAGAGGTTTATATAGAAGGGTTTGGGTGCGTGAGACTTCGCCAAAAAAAAAAGTGTCTGGTCCTTGCATGGAGATTAAAGTAAACTCCTTACGAATATTTGCTTTCAAACTCGAAGCAATTTTTTAATTCAAGTAAACTATTAGAATTATGTACCATTCATTTTTATTTTTGTTTGCGTGGAATTAATTGGTTGAAGTTTTAAGTTCCTTGACGTGTGTGCCCTTCTCCTTTAGCTATTCTAGTCAGCAGCAACATCATTGATTAAAAAAAAAACGATTTTAGTGTTTAAAAAAAAAATTAGCAAAAAAAAAGAAAAAACCTCATTAACAAGTTTCAAACATTAAATTACGAAATTACAAACCTTATTAATTTTAAGGTACAATCATAATAATCATAAATTCATATAACTCTACATATTTACCAGTAGTACTATTTGGAAGGCGATACACATAAATCTTTGAATAAACAAAAAATATATATATTTTTTTAAAGGGCTTTCATTATGAAAAGTGAATTACGGAAACCATAAAGAACCAGATCAACCACAAAGATTAAACAAAAGAATAAGAAAAACAGAACAAGCAAGTAAGCAACCCAAGATGTAGGATAATGTCAAACAGTCGACCAGATAAGGAGAAGACTTTCCCCACGATTGGAGCCCATCTTTTTCAGAATAAAATATACTCTATCTTTGTTTTCTAAGGTAAAACTTCAATAAATACGAGAAGATACAAATTATCTATCTAAATTATTAGCAAGACAATATATGTACATCTGTATAGAGAAACAAAGGGGCATATGTGTCATTGATCCGGTTTTAATCCACTTATTATACGTAGTGCAAGTACATATATAGTGAAATCGTCTTTATAAAAAAAAACGTATATTGTGAAATCGTAGTAAAATAAACATGATCGAGTCCAAAGGAACCAATGATCATACAAAAATTATGTTTGAGAGTTGAGGTTAACTAAGACGAAAACACTTTGTTAGTTTTATAAACAAAGCAAGTAAGAAAATAGTAGAAGGTTTGTAAATATGAATTATTTTTTAACAAAAAAAAAAGAAGTAAATATGAATTATAAGCATTGGCAAACAGAAACAATTTAACTATCAGGGAAAATATTAAGAAAATATTCTCAAACTCAAAATGTAGAGTTAGACTAAGGGCATCTCTACTCTAACCCACTTCTATTGTGGACTCTAAACTCTATTTTAGAGTTCCATCTCTAACTCTTCTCTATTTCTTACTCTAAAATAGAAAAAAACTATATTTGTAGGAACTATATTTCTTCCACTATGTTAGAGTTGATTTTTTTTATTTTACACTGGTCCTTCAAATTTTAAATATTTTTATTTATGATGTAAGCAAAAATAATAAAATAGTCTTTATTGTCAACTACAAACAAGAAAAAACCTAAATTATAGTATATACGTTATCACTTGCTTGTTGATTTTATTTTAGACTACCTTGATCCACCTAACAAATGATACCATGATATAGACAAGTTTTGTAAATAATAAAATAAGTGGGATCAAATTAAAACCTTTTATAAATAAAACGTACAAGTATAAAGTAGACATATGATACTTTTTTTAAGAGCGAAAAATAGAGAATAGAGAGAAACCAACTCTATTATAGAGTTTCTATTATTTTTGACTCCATGCCTAAAATCTATGGATCATCTATCCTCTTTTGGAAAGAAAAAAACGTTGAAGAAGCAATAAGTTCACGATTGAACAATAACAATAACTTCCACTTTTATTGGGTATTGAAGAATTAGTTGCATCCTAGATTCTTAGCCGCGCTATGCGTGGGGGTCATTTTTAAATAATTATTTATATTTGATGTTAATAAAACAGTCGTTGTATATATATATTAAACAACCCAAGATCTAGAACAGGGTCGCTAGCCAAGTTCTAGCATTGAAAATAACTTAGATGAAGAAACCAATTGATAATTCTCTAAACTAATGTCTCAATCAATCAAACTATGAAATCCCTTTGCAATACTAAGAATGCAATCGAGGAACTACGTACACATACAAGGAGTCAAAGTAAAAGTAGATATCATGGATGTCATTATAGAATAAGGTAAAATACATTTCACGGCTTAGAAAATCTTATCCTAATTAGTTCGTATGGTACATAGATCTCATCCCAATAGCTCTTAATAACAAAATCTAAACTCAATCGAATGAAAGTTAAGTATCTACGTGGGTAACGTGGCTAAGTTGTGTCCAAATTTCAGTTTTAACCAACAACGGCAAGGCCTTATTCCATATGCCTTAACTTATGCACGATTAGTTATCCTTTTCACTTCAAATGGCTCGTTCTCTTTTGAAACAACTTAAAACCTATAAACATACGACAGAAAGAAAAAAACTACATATTTTTTTTTAAATACGCTTGACTTGATAAAAGAAGATTAAAACAAATATCAAGAACCGATAATAACACAGCCTATCAGCCATCACAGCCAACTCCAAACAGAGTGCTAAAAATCTTGGTAGTCGATCTAATAAGTTAAGATATCTGGACCATAGATGAGATTCTAGCTTTGAATGTAGAGGCGAATATTTATTCTTCTCTTTTACCGGTTGTCACCAATTAACAATGGACGTTATTGTCTGATCAAAGGCAAATCCAATCACGAAAACTATGTGTTCTTCTGTACACCATCTAACTGAAGTCAAATTGGTATTTAAAACAAAAAAATTGACATTTTTGTAGTACCAAGGGAATCGTAAAAGATCCAATGAGAAACAAAGCTGTTTTTAACTTTAATTTTTTTAATAAGTGATGTACTATGTAAACTTCAGCAAAATTTTGAAGATTAGATAGAGGATTAAGGTTATGAAAGGCTTGGTGCATGGGATTAACTATGTAAAACTTCAGCAAAATCTTGATATACGTCATGTTCATGATTTCAGATCGATTTTTTTAGAAATGAAAATATTGTCTTGTACGGAGATTTCAAATTTACAATACCAAATTTCTGACTTAGCCCCTCTCAGTTCTAGATTATGAGTTTTGAACTTACAAGAGGAGAATTACAATGACTACTATAATGGGTGCTTCTAACAATCCCAAATTTGAAGAGGCTTCTTGGGATGCAAGGCTTCTTTGAGCTTACGACCAAGAGTAAAGGCAAATGGATTCACTGCATTCCCGATCTACATATGCTTGTCTCCTATTTTCCCTACGAACTCATAGCTATCCGGAGACCCCTGCAAGTTTTTTTAATAGAGAAACCAACAATTTCATGTCTATTAAGAGATAACAATCACTGTTATTTCCAATTGCTTTGACATGAAGAGAACACTTACTATGAACATTATAAGAGTTTGTATTACCTAAGATCGAGCGCATTCACGAACTGTGAGAATTCTGTCTTGGTCAGGATGGAAGCACATTCCCACCATACTATGTTATTTTTTTATACAGAAACATATTGTTAGTATATACGTGAATAATGAAGAACTATGTATAAAAACAATTCTTGATAAGTAAAATTTTAAAATGCAACAGCACAAGGTCGTGATTTTTTGAATAACCAGCAATAGATAGTTGGATGTATTAGACTACTTATTTAGAGATTACACTGAAAATAAATGTGAAAGTGATGAATTTGTGACAAAATGCTTATGAATTTCAATTTTTAATTTTTTTTCATCTTTTTGTAATCAGTACTATATTTTCTGATTAAAAAAATTATTAGTATGTGCCACATGCTAAATATATTCTCGCGTTCGCCTATGTAATAACCTTTGGATAGTGAGACTCGTGTCTGCAGTCTTTGACAATTTCTTGTAAACCGGCACGAGCCTTGTGAAAGAAATAATCATATATCTTCTTGTAGCTAAAGCAGGTTATAGACAATAAAAATCTGCAAAATCAGTAGAAATCTATACAACCAGAGAGCCTTCATATTCAGAATATACTTCATTTGTTCACATATCCACAAGATTGACACTTTGCACCCTTTCAATTCCAAAATAAACAGTATTTTGACTGCCATATAATTCCAATTTTAATTTGAAATGAAACACATTTACATTTCAGGAATTATATGGTTGGCCAAAATGTTTTTTTTTTTAAATCAAAACGGTGTGAGGTGTCATCCTTTTGGACGGGTGGAGAACTAGAGTATTGGATATGAAAATGGCTCTCCGGTGATATGGATCACTATAAATTTGACAGATTATGATTGCCTTAAACCTGCTACTAGCTACAAGAAGATATATAAATTACTTCTTTACAAGGAGGCGTGTGCATGTACCTCATTAGCGGTTTATAAGATCTACATTGATGCAAAAATTACAAAATTATTACTCCATAATTGTAGAAAAGAAAAACAAGAACATATAAGAATCATCATGATCAATATAATCTATGAATTTCAACATTACATCGATTATATCAACGCAAAAAATACTTCAAATCTTTTTTGTAAAATCAGCTTGAAAGCAAGGTTAAAATTGTTGAACAATTAGAATAAAGAAATCTATGAATATTAACAATCATTGTATTTGGAGATGGACACATAATACTTACGTTTAGAAATGAAACCGGAATGAGATCGTTGGAAGAAGGTATGAGTAAAGCTATGATAAGGCTTGGTGGGATTATATATAGAGACTCTAATTTGACATAAAACGGTTTTACATTTTAAGAATTATATAGCTGGCCAAAATGTTTTTTTTTTTCATTTTTTTGCTAAGGAAATCTTGGCTGGCAAAGATTTTGTTTACATTTTAAGAATTATAAGGCTGGTCATATATTTTTGTTTAGCTAATAAAATATTGGTTAGCAGAAATGTTGTTTACATTTGAGGAATTATATGGCCAGTCAAATATTTTTGTTTTGCTAATAAAATATTTGTTAGCAAAAATGTTGTTTACAATTTGGGAACTATATGGCTGGTCAAATATTTTTGTTTTGCTAATAAAATATTTGTTAGCAAAAATGTTGTTTACAATTTGGGAATTACTATATGGCTGGTCAAATGTTTTCTTTTCTTTTTTTTGCTAAAGAAATATTGGCTGGCAGAAATATTGTTTACATTGTACATACGTACATGCATATTTCAAATTCAAATAATCATATGGTTTAACTTCTGGGGAATATATAAGAATATACCAAAAGAAAGAAACATATTTATATAAAAATTCAAAATTTTAGAAATATTTTTAGCTTAGTAAAATTTGAAAATATTGGAAATATATTTGTGGGACTTAACATATATATCTATATATAGTTGCTTATGTACAATTCCTTTGCCGCCAAACAAGTGAGCAAATGAGTATGAATCTAGGATTATTCAGATCAAGAGGAAGAGGTAGCTCCATGTCTCTTGATAAATTCATCGAATGCAGGAAAAACCTCTCAAAGCCATCACCACGGCTCTGGCCAGACGATCCTCAACCTCGTAAAACGCATCTCGACGAACAAGGACGAACCGTTGTTGAAATTCACCACCCGATGCTCCAAAAGCTGGAATCTTTAAGATCCGTGAACGAATTCGATCAACTATATGCCCAGATCGTAGTCTCTGGTCTCCTTCAACACTCTCTCGTATCAGGACGAGTGATTAAAAAGCTCTGCACATGCTTTCACTCGGTTTCGCGAGCTGTTTCGGTTTTCGATTCCGTCGACGAACCTGACGCGTTTCTGGGTAACACCATTTTGAATTGTTTCGTCAATTTGAAGCAGCCCTTTGGTGCGTTGAGCTTTTACTACGAGAAAATGGTCTTGCACAACCATTATACGTTTCCGTTGATGGCAAAGGTGTGTTCGGAGATTGGGTTTGTAAAAGATGGGGAAAAGATTCATGCTTTGGCCTTGAAGCAAGGGTTTGATTCAGATTTGTTCGTTAGGAACTCTTTGATTCATATGTACTCTGTTTTTGGAAGAATGAGAGATGCACACAAGGTGTTCGACGATGGGTCTGTGTTGGATTTGGTAAGTTTGAATCTGATGATTGATGGGTATGTGAAAGATGGTCAAGTGATTATTGCGAGGATGTTGTTCGATGAAATGCCTGAAAGAGATGTTTTTACTTGGAACTCTATGCTTTCTGGTTATGCTAGGATGCAAGATATGGAGGCGGCGAGGTGTTTGTTTGAGGCAATGCCTTCTCCGGATGCTGTTTCTTGGAACTGTATGATCGACGGTTACGCGGCGGCGGGGGATGTTACGATGGCGAGGGAGTTTTTCGATCGGATGCCGAGAAGAAACGTTGTTTCTTGGAGTACTATCTTGGCTCTCTATGTTAGGAACAAGAATTACGCTGAAAGTCTGAGGCTTTTCGAGGTTTTGATTGATAAAGGAGATGGCTTGAAGCCGAACAAAGCGTGTATTACAAGCGCATTGACTGCTTGTGCGAATTTGGGAAGGATTGATACAGGGAAGAGGATACATTTATATGTAACGAGCAACGGTGTTAAACCTGATTTGCTTCTCTCAACCGCTTTGCTTACGATGTATGGTAAGTGTGGTGCAATGGACATGGCTAGAGAGGTGTTTGATGGGATGGGAGAGAGAAGCGTTGTCTCGTGGAACTCTATGATCATTGGATATGGTATGCATGGGGATGGAGAGAAAGCGTTAGAGATGGTTATGGAGATGGAAAAGGATGGAGACGTTGTACCGAATGGTGCTACTTTGGTTTGTTGTTTGTCTGCTTGTGTGAATGCAGGGATGGTTTTAGAAGGTTGGTGGGTTTATGATCGGTTAACTCGAATCTATGGCGTCGAACCGAGAGTAGAACACCATGGATGCTTGGTGAATCTTCTTGGCTTGGCAGGTTTGACAAAAGACTCGGAAGAGATGAGAGAAGAGAGTCAATCTGTTCTCTCTTCTTGCTGGACGGTTTCGAATCCTGAGGTTGGAGAAATCTTGGCGAAGCGGCTTGTGAGATTGCAACCAAGTGACATAGGGCCATATGTGTTGCTGTCGTATCTATATGCTGTTGATGGAAAGTGGGAAGATGTGGAGAAAGTGAGGAGGATGATGATGGTGAATGAGAAGAAGCTGTGTATGGTAAGTAGCTCAAGTTACATGACAAAGATTGTGTACTCGATGTTGTGCGAGATAGGTTTCCAACTTAAGGTTTCGATTTGAGACATTGCAACTTTAAGTCTTGGAGCATTACGAGAGAGAGAGAGAGAAGAAGCTATTTAAAAACAGATTTATAATAGCACCCAAGTTCCACAATGAATCACAGAAGGAGAAGATGGCAAAAATTATAATGTAATATATGCTGCATCTTTATTTATAGTGAAGCTTAGTGTAATGCTCAGAATAAATAACAAATCATGAACAAGGCCAACATAAGGGAGTTTAAAGCTACTCCATGATCCTTTGTGTTCGTAACTCCATTTTTCTTGTCTTTTGACCCATCAGAACCTGAAACTTAAAAAAGCAGTTAGTGTTTTTAAGAGATGATAATAGATTCAGAAAATTTTACCAAAAAAATAAATTTGTTGATTCTTCAACTTATAGTACTATAAATTGATGTATCCTTTTATCTTGAACACTAGAACCAGTTTATGGTTGATACTTGTAGATCGAAAATCCGTAAATGAAAAAGAAAACACTAAAATCTATATCTTGTGTTCGTATTATATATGAATGTAACTTATAAAAAGAATAAATCTTACCTGTTGATGAACCTTCACTTCCGGTTGGAGTAATCGTCGGAAAACCCAAAACTATTTAACCAAGATAACAAGAATTAACTCCAAACACTTTGTAGTTGTAGTTTCTTCTTTTTTACAGAGGTAAAACTAGTTCATGTTAATAAAATGTAGGATCCCCTTAAATGATTTGGTTGTTTTATAATGGTAAATCTCGTAATATTGTAGTTACATGTTACAATTTTTACTAATCAATACTCCGGCCTCCGGGGTCCATAATCAATATAGTAATTATATTTTATTTGAGTTAAATTAAAGGACTGTCACTCAACAAGAGTGAACTAAGCCGTTGGATTGAGTTTAGTTAGATCGGACGGTCCAAGTAACATAGAGAAAAAGTAGGTGTACGGAGCGAGAAAATGTACCTGAACACAAGCTAGGAGATGGAGCTTTCACACCGCAGACTGAGGGAAGTTGCTCAGCTCTCTGCTTATCAAGCTTGACACCAAAACGCGGCGATGCGCCGGCGCCGAGAAGATTGCAGACGCATTCCGGCGAGCTCTCAGCCATTCCAGCAAGCTCCGGGCAACAAGCAGCTTCGGGTTTAGTCTCAGTACTTCCTTCTTTAACGTAGGAGAGACAGTCTGATACGTTTAGCATAATCACTAGACAGTTCGCCGGAGAAGAAGGTCCATCGGCGGCGACGGGTTCTGGCGCCGGAGGAGTCTGCGCTGAGGAGAGTGTGAAGAGGAGGAGGAGAAGGAGGAGGCCGGTAAGAATGTTGGCGGTGGACATTTGGTGGGATCTGATTGGATCTGAGATTGAAGGTAGAAGTTGTTGGTGGAGATCTGAATGATTTTTGGAATTGGAAATATTTTTGTTTTCGAAAGATTACTTCAGAGTTTGGACTTGAGAGTGAAAAAATATAAAAGAAGTGTATTTGCCTCTTGTGGTAATGGAGCCCAAACATAGATCATTCGTTGAATTTAACACGAAATGCGTGACAGGACATGACATTTACAAGAGTAGCATTGCTCATTTGCTCTAGTTCGAGCGTTTGGGTCTTAGAATCTGCGACGAAGAACATTGCGTCCAAAATAATTAACATGAAAAGAATCAGTTGTGGGGTTTTGTCATTTGTGGTTAACCACAATGGCTAGAAGATCAAAAGTGATTCAAGAGAGTAAGTGGAAGTGTTACATATGGAACATCGTCAAGTCGATCGCGATTCGTGAACTATGTTCGTAAAGGTGTTGTGGTTCACGATTATCTTTAACAGGTGTCAAAAATGGGTCAAGGGGTCAGTGGGGGGACTCGAACCAGAGTAATGGGGGTTCATTTAGGCATCTCTTACCATTTTTGCTACTAAACTTATTGGTTATTAGTAAAAATTTTGTATTTAATACGGTGTCCAACTGGACACCGTATTGCTCTTATTGCATTCGCCACTGGTGGTCCGTAGACCGTAATTTATATACGGACAATAGATACCATTCATGTCAATTAGCAATATGGAAAAAAAAATTCACAATTGTGATAACAAATAACATGAATCACTGGATTCCATAGCAACACAATGTACTCACAATTGTTTCAACATAAATATTAATAAATAGAAAAATAACTTAAAATATCACCAAAACTAAAAACTATTCATAGTAAGTTGGTGTATTGTTTTGAGTTCTATTACACAATTATCTAAAGTGTTTATAGAAATCAATTCAATTGTTATTATGATAATTTTAATTTTATTTTATTGTTACTTTAATTTATTAATTATTTAATAATTTAATGATTATATTTTAATTATTCTCAGACCTTTTTAATGCATCGAGGTTAGACTAGATATCCGCATATATATATCGATAATAATTGTTTGGATCCGACAAATCACGATCCAAATATCATAACATTTTAGAGTATTTAATCCATATCCACCTATAATTATAACATCCAAATTTTACATTAATTGAAATTTACAAAATATTTGTACTTTCACTAATTCAGTAGTATTATTTTTTTAACGTACGTATATCAAGAATGTAATCAATTTACGTTTTGTTTGAGTGCCCTTTTTTTAAAAAAAAAAATCTTTATAGAAAAAATAGTGTTTCCAAATGTAATAAAAACAGTTCATGCTTGACAAAAAAAAAGTCAAAAACTTTAAAATCAATATATTTAAGCTGAGATGGGCTTTGAATTAGGTTCACTGTAATAGCAGACTACAGACCCGTAAAGGTAGAGAAAGAGAGGCTTTGGAGTCTATCGTACAATAACTAGCGAAATTTACCCGATTTAGGGTTCCGATATGGCCGATGTGACACTACCTCCGGCTGATTCCGTCGACAACAGCCTCCCGGAGACGACCACCTCTTCCTCACCACCTCCTCCACCGCCGCAGCAGGAACAGCTGCCGGAACAGGATCCCGAGCAGCAGCCTCCTAACCGCCGCGAGAGAGATTCCCGCGAGCGGCGTGATGACAGAGACCTCGACCGTCCGGCCAATCGCCGTGACCGTGAACGTTCGCCTCTCCCACCGCCCCGCAGGGATTACAAGAGACGGCCTAGCGGTAGCCCTCCGCCACCGTACAGAGATAGGCGGCACTCTCCTCCCATGCGCCGTTCGCCTCCTCAGAAGCGTTACCGGAGGGAAGATAACGGCTATGATGGTCGCCGTGGTGGATATGGCCCACCCGACAGAAGGTAATATGATTGGATCGTTTTCCATAGCTCAGTGAAGGATTTTCTGCAACTCTTCCAACCAGATTTCTCACACTTTGATTCAAAGAACACTTGAGCTAATTCGTTTTCGATTTAATTAAATTTCAAAGAATATGTGAACTCTTTGCCCAGTGATGTTGCATTGTTGCTTAGGTGCGGATAAATAAGTGTACCACTTATAATTCTATTGAAGATTAAACCACACTTTGATCGTCCTCGCGTATCAGTGATTGCACCGTTTTTGGCGTTTTCCTAATCAGTTTCTCTTTTTCGAATGATAGATTTGGGTATGACCATGGTGGAGGATATGATCGTGAAATGGGTGGGAGGCCTGGTTATGGTGATGAAAGGCCTCATGGCCGCTTTATGGGTCGCAATCAGGGTGAGACATCTGGTTCATTTGGTAAACTGTGTTAATGTTGAGAGAATCAGTATTACCACTTTTGTATCTTACTGAAGATGACTGTCACTGGGGGTTTATATAACTTGGAACTCTGGTTCATTTGACATAGTTCATAGTCGTAGCAGTGGGTTGGAATTAGTTTGAGCATTCTACAATAGAAGAGAGATATCAAGATCTACCTTTTTTTGTTTTGTGTATTTCTCTTGGCAGACTGGGAGGGAGGTCGTGGAGGTTATGGGGATGCTTCCAACAGTGGAAATACTCAAAGGTTAATGTTCCTACATCGTCGTTCATTTTTTTCTTTGTATTACTTGGGTTTGTTGTGTTTATTTTATCGTATGGTGAAATATGAGGTAGTGGATCTTAGGTTTTTTAAAGCTAAACTAGGAATCGTGAGTTGTCTAATGATGCTCAATGAAACGGAGATATATCCCGATATCAAGCCATTATATTGCTCCAAGTTTTAAGTTTGTATCTCTTTTAGTGTTTTAAGTTAAAAAGTTTAACAATAAATGCCGTTGAATCTCTTTTGTCCAGGGATGGATTGATGTCATACAAACAATTTATACAGGAATTGGAAGATGATATATTGCCATCAGAAGCTGAACGCAGGTATGGTTATAACTGTAGCTTAGTCGTGACGCTTAAGCAGTTCTTTCGTAAAAGCTACAAGGTTTATGGTTTTTTTTTCATGATTCAGATATCAAGAATATAAGTCAGAGTATATCACAACACAGAAACGTGTCTATTTTAACACTCACAAAGATGAAGATTGGTATTTTCTACTATCCTTTTTCCATCTTTTACAGTTTTCCTGGAAAATCTGCAAGCTAACCTATTGACATGCTTTTCTATGCTACACTTCCAGGTTGAAAAATAAGTATCATCCAACCAACTTACTCTCTGTCATAGAAAAGTGAGTTCAAGAGCCATTTAATTTGTTTTTTCGTGTTAGTGCCTAATTGGTGTAGTATACTATACACTAATTTGGTTTTGCTTTCCTTTTGTTTTTGGTTTAAAAAAAAAACAAGAATAACTGTTTCAACTGCATATATTCCTTTTAAATTTTCAGGCGGAATGAACTTGCACGGAAGGTGGCCAAGGATTTCTTACTTGATTTACAAAGCGGGGCGGTAGATTTGTAAGTTCTTTACCTTGGCCTTTACTCCACATTTATGACTTTGATCACCATTCTGCCATCTCTAGAGCTCACAGTTTCCCCTTTGTATGTTCCAGAGGTCCTTCAGTGACAGCATTGAATAAATCTGACCGGACCAATGAGCCAAATTCTGAAGATGAAGCAGCTGGTGGTGGTAAAAGAAAAAGACCTGGAAGGGGGGAATCTAAAGAGGCTGAACTTTATTCAACCGCACCGAAAGCACCCAGTTTCACTTCTGATCCAAAGAGAATCCTAATTGACGTTAACCAAGCACAAGCCCTTGTGCGTAAGCTAGACTCTGAGAAAAAGATTGAGGAGAACGTTTTGTCAGGTTCAGAAACTGAAAAGTCCGGTAGAGGTTCGACTGGACCAACTGTAATCATAAGAGGCTTGACATCTGTGAAAGGCCTTGAAGGTGTTGAATTGCTCGACATGCTTCTCACGTATCTATGGCGTGTTCACGGTGTGGACTATTACGGAAAAGTTGAAACAAATGAAGCTAAGGGTCTGAGGCATGTAAGAGCCGAAGTAGAAGGCTCTGATGCAAAAGGAGATGAAAGCGAAAAGAAATTCGACTCTCATTGGCAGGAGAGGTTAAAAGGTCAAGATCCCTTGGAAGTGATGGCTGCTAGAGAGAAGATAGATGCTGCGGCTCTTGAAGTTTTAGATCCACATGTCCGTAAGATTAGGGATGAGAAGTATGGTTGGAAATATGGTTGTGGAGCTAAAGGCTGCACGAAGCTGTTTCATGCTGCTGAATTTGTGTACAAACATCTCAAGCTGAAACACACTGAGCTCGTCGTGGATCTGACTGTCAAACTGCGGGAAGAACTGTATTTTCAGAACTATATGAAGTATGTATGGTTTTTTTCTCTTGGATTCCTCTTCTGTCATTTCAGACGGGTTCGTAATGAAAAATATTATGTGCCATTTGCAGTGATCCGAATGCTCCTGGAGGACAACCAGTGACGCAGCAACCTGGCCCGGTACATGATCTTTTTTTATTGTTGACTAGTCTGTTCACTTTTGGGTTTTTACTTGTGTAGCTTTGTTATTGAGTTTTACTTACGCTGGTGAAATATACTTTTGACAGAGAGATAGACCTATGAGACGTAAACCAGGCATGGAGAGCAGACTGAGGGATGATAGAGGAGGACGTAGAGAGCGTGACGGACGGGGTAACGGTAATGACAGAAATGATAGGCCGGAGGATCAGCAGAGAAGTGATGGTCCTGAGGGTGCAAACCCCGAGGAAGGTGGGTACGATGCATTTGGTGCACAAGGCGGCATTCATGTTCCTTCCTTTTCGTCTGATGTAAACCCACCACCAGTACTGATGCCTGTTCCTGGTGCCGGGTAGGCTCTCTCTCTCATGTAAAATAAAGAGTTGCTGTGTTTTCTCAATGATCTGTAATGATGTGTGACTGATGATGGATGTGGGCAGGCCATTGGGACCATTTGTACCAGCACCGCCTGAGTATGCGATGCAGATGTTCCGAGATCCAAGTGGAGGACCCAACAATCCTCCTTTTGAAGGTGGCGGCAGCGGCAGAGGTGGACCCGCCCCATTTCTTTTATCTCCGGCCTTTAGACAGGATCCTAGACGGCTACGCAGGTAATCACGTGCTTCACTCTATGCTATGAGTATCATCATCACATATTGCCTGTTTATCAAACGTGGTTCACAGGTTCAGTCTAGAACAAGAGTGCAGTATCTATAAAAAACTAATTGTATGAGGAAATGGTGCAGCTACCAAGACTTAGATGCGCCAGAGGAAGAAGTGACAGTCATTGATTACAGGAGCTTGTAGACCAGAGAGAGAGCTTAGAGAGAATGCCGAGTTACCCGTTTTGGTCGGGTTGGGTCAAAGGAACCAGCGTTTGAAGGTGAGCCTGCATTAGTGTGGCAAATATTACATGTTCCCTTGATGTTTGTATACTTGTTTCTCCTAATTTTCACTCTCAATATAAATTTTCTTTTTTTGTTTACTTATTCCTTTTATGTTGTTACTGCTAATCTGTTTTGGACGATTACATAAATGTGCATGAGAATTCTTGTATTCAAGTTAACGCTGTCTTATCTACAACGTTACTTTTTTATAAGTCTTCCAAAACTGCTCCATTTCTCAACGTTATTGTTCAATAATACGGCTCTCCGACAAGAATAGCAAATCATCTCAGCTAATAAATTGTTCAACTATCTGAACAAGACGAATATATACACTTGAAAGCCTGGCCAGAATCAAGACTCAATGCCCACATCTTTATCCACACTTGTGTAGATGCCACATATAATACATATGTTACACAGGAGAACACTGTATCGTATGTGTTAACAAATTCAATCCCAAAGATAAAAACAGACTAAGCCTAATGAGTTCCTTTTAACAAGGATCTTCCTAGATTCGTGATTGCCCTTCTTTCATTCAACATCACCTGCGTTGCTTCTTCGATTGTGGTTCTATCTGAACCTCTCCCTACGAAAGAAAAATTACAGTTTAGAGACTCATACGACGACGGTACGCAGACGAAGTAGTAATATGGGAGTGTGTACTTACAACAATAGAGAGCTGCTCACGGATATAAGCCATTGATCTCAACATGGCACCTAGTGTATCCCTGGACACCTGAAATTTGACCTCTGATTCTCCTGTTGTTGTCTCCGTGTCTTGAAGCTGGAGTAAAAATAACAAATAAAAGTTAATGAGGATTGAAACTCTTTAGTTCAATTACAAGAGTAGCTAATATGCAGTAAAACACTGATCTCGGTAACAACCATACAGAGCCACACAAATTACGCAAAATCATGAAAGAAGAAACTGAGAATTCCATGAGAAACTGGCTGGCTTTATATGCATGCAGGCACAAGTCTAGAGTCTAAAAAGCATACCTTCAGATTGATGACAGCTACTCTATTCGCTGGAGCTGAGAGTTGCTCGCTAATGTAAGCCATAGACCTTAACATAGGTTCAAGCGTGACGCTAGACAGCTGAAATTTGACCTCCATATCTGCTGATGGAAACTTTCTGTAATCGTGCAACTGAAAACATCATCAAACAAAAATCCTCAATAAAGCGGTTTTTTTGGCAGGAAGCAGCAATACAATTGATGGCGACAAATTCGATTTCCCTATACTTGAGTCAGTAAGAAAAATCAAAATTTCCACAAAGGCCAATGTCAATTGTTCAAATCTCGCAAGGCTAACAAATATCTAATATCTTTTAGAGGCAATCATCACATCAGACCAAGTTTCAGCAAAAGTTGATAATTGCAAAAACCAAAGTGGAAGAAGTTTTAGTGCACACCTTTAAATTGATAACTGCAACTTTACCACCGGGCATTGTATTCTTACTCTCCATCACCCAAGTCATTGACTTAAGACAAGGAAGAGCTACCTGAAAAACAAAGCAAGTCAAACACCACTCCAACACCAAACAGAATAAAACAAAAAAACCATGTGAAAGGTTTTCTTTGGGTACCATATTCTCAGGAGCGCCATCATCTCGGTGAAGAGACACTGGCGCCATACGCGGGAGATTCAGATCAGCAACAGATTGACCTCTGGCCACACCATCGTTAAGATTAAATCTGCGTATCATTTCATCCTGACGCGGCCACAGCAACGGGGTTGAGTCAGCAGATGATAGCGAGGTCCTGTCATCACTACCAATTCCACCACCGAGTGAGCTAGGAGGTGCGGCTCTACCTACATTTCTCCTGACAATAGAAACCTTCTTGCCACTTTCTCTGAGTGCCCCTATAGCAGTATTATAAGTTTCACTTGTAATTGCTCCTTCCTCAGCATACTTGATGGCCTCACGACATAAATGATTATAACGGTGACTCAAGCTCTCGTGGCCGTTTTCACCGACAAGCTCATCCAACCCTACATCGCTCTTGGCATCTTTCGTCCACCGCCTCAGGATATAATGCGGTGGCAAAGTGAGTATATTCGTGACGGTAAACACCGTCAAAACATGCCGGCAGAGTATCCCGGAATGCTCAAACATTTGGCAGCTGCAGTTTGCTCTCATCTCAGGGTAGCAAAACGTCACTATATAAGCTTTGTCGTCGTTTTCAAATTTCGCAACCCTAAACGTGCTGGCGGTATCACTATCATCAATCCTGTTTGCAGTGTAAGCGAATGTCTCCACCAGCTCTTCCTGAAACTTTGCAAAGATCCTCCGCGTAAAGAGATTTGCAGCCTGATTCTCCATCGGCGATGGAGTTTTCAACACTGGAGGCGTGTTGGCAGTGTCGAGATCCGCTTCAATCTCCATCTCAAACCAGCTCTCCATAGCCCTCTCGTAAAGCCTAAAGAACATCGGAAGAGTCGTCTGCTGATTCACATACCCATCGAAAAACGAGCCAGGATAGCCTTGGCTAGGAAACACCGCAGCGAAGAACGAGTCCCGGAAGTAAACAGGCACCCACTGAGCTCGAGCATTATACAAAGAGCTAAGCCATTCATGTCTTCCCAAGTCGTACCTATCAATAATCAAACTCCAGGACGACTCAAACTCATCTATCGCCTCGGTGAAGTTGATACAGTTATACAGCTCCACCTGAAAGCTAGGATACGAAAGACACACATGAGCCAGCTTTTCCTGACCTTCCCTCAACACATCCCACTTGTTTATACAGTGACGAGCACCTGGAAACACCTGAGCAACAGCAATCTGTATAGCTCTATCTTGATCAGTCACTAAAGAAACCGGCGGCTGATCTCTCATCGCCGTCAGAAAAGTCTTGAACAGCCAGATAAACGACGCATCTGACTCATCCAAAACCAATGCACAGCCAAATAAAATACTCTGACCATGATGATTCACACCAGTAAACGGAGCAAAAGGAACACGATACTGATTCGACCTGTACCTTGTATCTAGAGTCACCGTATCGCCAAAATGGGAATAAGCAATCCTCGACCTCGAATCCGCCCAAAACACATTCGTCAACTGATTATCATCATCAAGCTGAATCGCGTAGAAGAAACCAGGATTCTCCGCCTGCATCCTCTTGAAATACTCCAGCAGATTATGCGCATCACGCCCGAGCGTTCTCTTCGTGTTTCCATTAGACGAACCTCTAGCTCCTCTACCATTAGACTCTACACGATTCCCATCCATGGAAACATACATCATACCACTAGGCACCACATTCACGCTCTCGGAATTGGCGAAATGCCTACGAGGACGAAGACAGTGGAGCGTATTGGGACTCGCTAATCCATGGTTATGCTCTTTGACAAACTTCGTCACAATCCATTTACCGTTACCATTATTCATCTCTATCCTCACCATTGCATCACAGCTCTCCACAGGTCTTCGTTTAGATCTTTTGCTATGACTACTACTAGTGCACACGAACTCACGAACGGAGCCATCGGATTTCGGGACTGGCTTGGAAGTAAACGCGAGCTGCCTAGAGTACTCATCGTAGAACGATTTAGCGTCTTTCTCTGAATTGAACTCCATGCCTACACATGGCTCTGCGATTCCGGATTCGTCTTGAGATCCCACCAGTGAGTTCTCGATGTGATTCGATACACTGCAATCTCTAGGTTCGGCGTCTACATGATCTTCCATGCCGTGATTCACCATTGGCGAAACCTCGTCGATCAAATGAATATCCATCTTCTTCTTCTTCTCACTTGGTGGAGAGAAGAAGTTCCGATTTCAGAAAACGACTGGTTCTCATCTTCAATGGTGTCTAAACACAGTGCCGATTCTGGAGATTGTGTAATTTCACGGCGATCAGCTCAAATTAGGTTTCCGACTAGCTCCTGACTGATTTAGGGGGGAAGAATCTGCAAATTGAATGGGGATAAACTAGGGTTTATCAATTTGCACTTTTTGAGAATTTGATACAAGCTAGAAAAGCAGAGAACCAGAAGGGAGGTGCGAAATCAGTAGAGGAGGATCGAAGAAGCTTACCTGAGAGGAGTATAATTCGAGAGAATGAGCAAGTTTTGAAGCGAGAACGCGGCGGCGAGCGATGATGAACAAGAAATTCGGTCAGATTTTTATTTTAAAAATAAAACAATTTCGGCGTTAAAGCATTTTAACCTTTTAGGAGGGTAGGAAATGAAATGCTGTGTATATTTTTATTTTGATATCATCCCCAAATTTTTACTATGGCTTGCAAAAATGAGAAGGAACAAAATGTTAAATATATATATATACCTGTACAATAATAAAAATGAGGAAGAAAATAAAATTAAAAAGAGGAATAGTGTATCAGATTCAGAGGACTTGAACAAAATGTCATGAAATTTGAACATGTATTAGAAATAACTTCAGTTCGATTGAAAGAGTTTATGTGTTAGTAAACAACAATGTCAAAAGATCATCCTATAGTCAACAACAATATGTCATTCTCTTTAGCATAGAGCTCATGATTTCACTAGGTATATGACCTGATAATCGGTTTATGCTCATATCAAGCCATCTGAGAGTGTTCAAAGATCAAATCCCCCAAAGCAAATAGAACCAAATAAGCAATTTGAAGACAGTTTGAAATCAGCAAGAGACGAGCAAAAGCTAGTACTTGCATGGTTCTGTTCCTTTCTTCAGTTGTTCTGAACCTTTGTCTTGTGTTATTTTCACTCCCACAAGTGCCTGTGGGACAAAATTACGCGGCTAAGTGTGTTTTGATCTAACCATTCTTAAGCCGGAAGGATCAAGAAAACCAAAGTACAGATCGATCTTCTTCAAAGAAAAATCCTAACTTTTGGCTTCACTCTGCTTTGTGAATGTTGTTGTAAAAATGGGTCTTGTTGGAGATAAATTTGGATCTATTTTCTATCAATTGTACTATAAAAGATAAGTGTAAATCGAAAACTATTTCATTTAATGAAGATTTACAGAGTATTTATAGATTACATGACTGATTCTAAACAATGAAACTGAGAGGTAGCAGACAGAAAAAAATGAGTTTAAATTTTTTAACAATGAAACTAAACCATGTACCAATTACAAAGCGTTGAAACAAATTTAGTCTTTATAGGTCTTCAAAACCCTAAAGAAGAGATTAATAAATTTGACAAAAAATCTCTAGTTCTCTACTTAAGTCATGATCATATGATCTGATTGATGAAGCATCATCATACTCTTGAGTCAATTCTCTTCTTTATATCTTGCTGCTTTCTCTTTGATTGCTTTCACTTCCTTCTGAATCTTGTCACTTCCCATCTCTTCCCTCTTCATCGTCATCAGTCTCTCTCCATTGATCTCACCAGTCAACACTTTCCTCCTTAGGTCAGGATTGTTACTATCTCCAATGTTAAACAGAATGGATCTGTACTTTGGTTTTTGAGGTCCCTCGAAACAACCTAATTTCTCAAACATTGCAGATTCCACCGAAACAGCCACATCCCAAGAATCACAATCAGTCACTCGTTTCTTCATCTCAACATGAACCTCATCAGCGACTTTAGACAACGATTTTTGAAGAATCTCACGCACTTTGTCTCTCTTAGAATCTCCTGTCGACATCATCTTCACCAGATTTTGATCTCTATCATCACGTCGGTCTCTAACTTCATCACGACGGCTCCGTTTTGGTCTACTACCGTAAAGGTACCTCATCCAAGTGTTAAGAAGATTCTTTGCGTCTGATCGGATTTGAGGGTTTCTATGTTCGACGCAAACTCTGGTCAGATTCTCTCCGAGGGAGGAGGTTGTGAGAAGAACGTCTAAAGCGAGTGACTCGGGAACTTCTTTCAAACGATTCATGGCGTCGACACACCTCGCGACTTGTGGAGAAGAATTTGTTTTCTCTCTCGCAGTTTTGGCCGCTCGAATTGCTGCCTCGAACAACTCTAAGAACTCTTGCTTCTTCATCGTTTCTCGTTATCGACTTTCTCTGCCTCCTCGATTTAGGGTTTTCAAAGCAACGAAAGAAAAAATAAACTGAGAATTGTTAGAGAGTGTGTTTATATAGCACCTGAGGAGGCTTTGTTGTCGTTTGCTTGGTTCCCAAGATTGAAGAGTGAAGATTGCCCGAAGTTTCCTTTTTAAAAGTTTGTTAAATGATTTTCCTTTTTTTCAGGTACCAACGTCAGAGTGAACTTTATCTACCAACGTAAATATCATCAGTGTAGATATATGTATAAAATATCTGAACTGTGAGGATAATGAATGATAAATGCTAAATAAAAATGTGAGAAATAATCTAAATATCTGAGACATACAAATTATATGTCCACGACTCCACGTAGTTTATCTTATTTTAATTTTCTACAAACACTTGATAACTATCCTTTGTTTGTTCAACAATTGTGATTACTTTTGTTGTATAAATCTCCATGAAAAAAAAGAAGGCGGATAAATGATTTGTTGACCTTTTTATGGGCTGAATATTATTTAGAAGTGGTATAACTTATTGAAATGAAGAAAATATCAATGTGTTTCCTCATTTTTCCTCTATGGTGGTCATCATTCAAAGCTATAATGAAAAGATTTAGAAAGATCACTTTAAATGGATTATGCGAGTTAATTATTTTGAATTTATTTATAGTCAGCTAAATAATTTTGACTCTCTTTGATGAATTTTTAATATGTTTCTTAAATCTCTCTTTCTTAGTTTCATGCTGGTCTACTGAATGAAAGTCAAAAAAGAATTTTAATTCATGTTTATCTCATCATTTCAAATCTATAAATACGTTTTTAAATCTCATTTTTTAATATCAAACAAATTCTTGAAGCAAACAGATCTTAGACTAACATAATACTTTATACTTTAACTGTTTCACAAGTCATGGCAAAACAATTCTATTCGTATCTTTTCATCTGTTTGTTCGTTCTCTCGGGTAAACAATTCTATTTGTAGTATTCTTAACCAAGGTTAAGATACTTGAGAACTTATTATTTGCAAATGAATATCATCTAAAAATTATGTTCGTTCGTTCGTTCGTTTACTAAAAACGTTTCAAATAGTTGGTAAGTACTTATAGAATTTTATTTCTTGCTAGGTTTTTTGGCTTTGTCAGGTGCAGCGAGTGTGAAACGATGTAGCTCCATCGTACCCCTTAGCAAGCCATGCAGTTTTCAAGAATGCATACCTCTTTGTCTCAAAAAGTTTAACGGGAATGGCGTTTGTGTCGGAGAGAAAAACGAGATTTGCACTTGTGTTTACCAGTGCTAATTTTATATCTCGTATACATGATGATGTTAAACATGACCCAAAAAAATGTGGTCATATATGAATAAAAAATATATTAAAATAATCAGTGAATCCCGGGTTTCATGTGTTCTAAAGCAATATATTATACATCGATGAACTTCTACAAACTTGAACGACGTAAGAAGCAGACCATGACGAGTAGTACTTCATTTTATTTTTTTGCTAAGAAGTAATATAGATTATAGTATGGTCATTAACTTTTTTTTTTCATATACATAAAAAATACAATAAACACGATTTGATGTTTCTATCAACTATTTGAAATTCATAAAAATAAGATGCAACATTTAAAGTTTTTTCGTTTATTTTTTTGGATTTGCTTTTACAAACACATTGATATTTTTTTTTTTTGGAAAAACACACATTGATAAATTCCAGCAGCCGTAAGTGAAGTATCAGTGTATCACCATTATTCTCCATACACGTGTCTTTCCACGATCCCATATAAGACGACCAAATCGAATTCCATCCCATAATTTGTTAATAGCAATGTGGTTCCATACACAAAATTTTGGACCGAAACTAGTAAAACCATTGTGGGTAATACGCCGGCAGGATTTGATGGAGAAAAACACTCTACGGATGAGAGAGAAAGCCGTTACAAAGATGAACCCATGGGTTGCAATGGGGGAGACTTTTTTCGATCGCCATGAGAGAGACGTCGGTTAGTAATGATTCAGATTTTTGATTTCAATATGTACTTTAGCATATCAACAAGAAAAAAACATAGAGAAAACATTATTTTAAAATAAAAAATGCGCAGAAAATTAAGATTTTATGCAGATAGTAATCCAGTATATTACACTTATTTAAATAATAAACTACACTTTGGCAGAGAGTTGGCATGCAAATTAATAACACACTTCGATAAAATATATTTTTTCAAAATGTATGGTACTTAAAAAATAACCCTATTTATAATTTTTTTTTTAAAAATAACCCTATCTTTAAGTGATTATTACACTTTCGCGGAGTGTTGTCGTATCTGCCTATGTTCTGTCTCATCTCAGATATTTATCTGCTTTTTGTTTGAAAGTGTGCATTAGGGTTTAGTGGAGCCGCCATGGAAAAGCCAAAGAAGCAACGACTCTCCGCCGACAGGATTCCAGCCGATCTCGTAATCTCAATATGCTCGAGATTACCGGCGAAATCCATTGCAAGGTTCCGTTGCGTTTCCAAGGAATGGTCTTCGACTCTCCGCCGTCGAGATTTCAAAGACTTGCACCTGAAATGGTCTTTGTCTCGTCGCTCTCTCTTGTTCACCTTCAAACTCAACCGTAAGTGTTGTCTTTAGTGTTGCGTCTATCTCAGATCGTTTTGTGTTGGTAACAATCGATCATTTTGTTTTTGTATGACTCTTTTATATGTTTACTTTGGAAAACTTCATTATCTCTGTGGAATTTTGTGATCAATGGTTGATCTTATTATGTTTGAGTTAATAAATTAAACTTTTTCTTTTTTATATATTAGCAAGCCACTTAATTAATCTGCTGTGCCTTCGTGAATTTTATACTATGTTAGTGAAGCTGATCCATATGTTAGTGAAGTTGATCCATTAGCCCATCGCAATATATATTTGTCAGTGAAGAAGAAGTAAATTAAAGTTACTAGATAACATTTAAATTCTCAAATCTATCTTCTCTATGAAAATATTTTCTTCATTTTTGGGATCCTAAAATGAAAAAACGTTTCTCATTTTTATAATATAATAAAACAAAACAAAAATGTATGGCAACAAAATAAAAATCTTTGTTTTGTCTTATCTCCTCTTTCCTCGGAGAAAACAAAGTTTTGTCTTATCTGCTCTTTTTTCTGCCTCATAGCTCTTCTTTGCTCGATAGTGTGGATTATTGGATACTAGGGTTAAGTGAAGCCGCCATGGATATCCCGGAGAAACAGCTACTCTCCGAGACGGATGACCAAACCATCCCACCCAAGACGATACCGATCGATCTCCTAATCTCCATATTCACCAAACTACCGGCGAAATCCGTCGCAAAGTCTCGCTGTGTTTCCAAGCAATGGGGCTCCCTTCTCCGCCGTCGAGATTTCACAGATTTGTACCTGAAAATGTCTTCGGCTCGTCCCTCTCTCTTGTTCACCTTCAAACTCAACGGTAAGTTTCTCTTCTTCTCAGCACCACAGCCGCTAAACCCACACCAGGACTCAGCTCCTTTAGTTGCTGTCCGTCACATGAGCTTCGACACCGATGATTGGTCTCGTGGCATTGCTTATGCTCAACCTGTCCGTGGGTTTCTTTGTAGCAAAGAAAAAAACCCTTTGGTTGTTAACCCTACAACAGGACAGTGCATCACCTTACCCACAGTGGCGTCGAACTTTTCAGGGACTTCGTATCTGGGTTATGATCCCATCTCCAAATTGTTCAAGGTGTTGCGTGTCTCGGATGATTTTCGCGTTCTGACGTTAGGAAACGGAGAAGCAACGTGGAGAACGATCGAGTGTTCGATCACACCCTTTTACGCTGACCCTAGTGGGATATGCATCGACGGGACGGTGTATTTCTTAGGTTCTCGCTATTGCATTGGGATTGAAGACAACACTGTGCTGTTTTACTTTGACGTTAGGTCAGAGACGTGTAAGTTTCTTCGCGTGGAGGGAAAGATTAGTTTGTGCTCAACGCTAGTTAACTTCAAAGGTAAACTAGGAGCGATTCTCCCTGATGGTCTGACTAGGTTTTACTCGGGAAACACTACAAAGCTTGAGCTGTGGGTTTTGGATGATGTCGAGGATGAGAAATGGTCGGTGCATGTCTACGAGTTGCCACCGTCGTGGAAGAGTCTAGTGGTAGTTGGGAATGCCTCTCTTTACATTGCCGGGATGACTCGTGCAGGAGAGATTGTCTTCTCCCTAGCGCCATACCAGGTGGAGGATGTTCCATTCTGCATTTACTACTATAATGTGGTGAGAAACACTGTGGTGAGAGTTGAAATCCAATTTGGAATGGTAATCCCTAAATTTGACAAGATTCACACCTTTGTTGACCATGTAGAAGATGTCAAGCTTCTGGAAGTTCTTGGGATGCCATAAAGACAGTCCTCAGTGCTGCGCCTATCTTCGTTTGTGCTGGTAACAATTGTTTTGTCTTACCATTTTCTCAAAAGAACAAATTGTTTTGTTTTGTGTTGTTGTATGACTATTTGTGTGTTACTTTGGCAAGCTTTATCTCTTTTGTGGAAACAGTGTCCATGAAAAGTTAAAGGTTATTGTTGCAAGTTATGTTTTATTATTTTGAACTTTTCCATTTCATTGGAAAGCCTCTTATAATTTGTATCTTCCTGAATTTTGCTATGTTAGTTTTACATGTTGACTTTACTGCTGCGTCTATCTCGTTTCGTGTTGGTAACAGTTGGTTTGTTATTGTTCTTGCTGACATTGAGATGGTGAACGGAATCAAAATAGTATTCATTTAATGATGATTTACAGTGTACTTATAGAGAGATACATGAAAGGAATCTAAACAATGAAACATAGGAAGCAGACGAAAATTAAGTATTTAATACGTCTTTAATACACCAAGAAGAGATTAATAAAACTGTCAAAATCTCTAATTCTCTACTTAGGTCATGATCATATGATCTGATTGATGAAGCATCATCATAGCTCTTGAGTCGATTCTCTTCTTTAAACCTTGCTTTCTCTTTGATTTCTTTGAACTTGCTTCTGAATCTGTCACTTCCCATCTCTTCTCTCTCCATCGTCACCAGTCTTTCTCCACTGATCTCACCAGTCAAGACTTTCCTCCTTAGGTCAGGATTGTTACTATCTCCGATGTTGAACAAGATGATCTGTATTTTGGTTTTTGCTTTCCCTCGAAACAACCGAATCTCTCAAACATGGCAGATTCCACGGAAACAGCCACATCCCAAGGATCACAATCAGCCACTCGTTTCTTCATCTCAACACGAACCTCATCAGCGACTTTAGACAGAGACTTTTGCAGAATCTCACGCACTTTGTCTCTCTTGGAATCTCCTGTCGAAACCATCTTCACCAGATTTTGACGATCTCTGACATGATCACGACGGCTCCGTTTTGGACCGGTGGCGTAAAGGTACCTCATCCAAGTGTAAAGAAGATCGTTTGCTTTGATCGGATTTTAGGGTTTGGGTGTTCGGTGCGAACTCTGGCCAGTCTCCCTCCGAGGGAGGAGGTGGTGAGGAAAGCGTCTAAAGCGAGTGACTCGGGAGCTTCTTTCAAACGATTCATGGCGTCGACACACCTCGCGACTTGTGGAGAAGAATTGCTTTGCTCTCTCGCAGACTTGGCCGCTCGAATTGCTGCTCGAAAAGCTCTAAGAAATCTTGCTTGTTCATGGTTTCTCGTTATCGACTTTCTCTGTATCGAGATTTTCAACGAAAGATGTATGGATTGTTGGAGAGTGTGGTCGCTTGTTGCGGTTTATATAGGCAACACCTGATTATGTTATCAGGTTTTGTTGTCGTCGCTTGGTCCACAAGACTCCTCCCCGAAGTTTCCCTAATTTCCTTTTTTGTTATGCTCGTTAAAGGAATTTCCTTTTTTTTTTTGTCGTCAAAGTAATTTCCTTTTTCTGGTACCAAGCAAGTCTAGAGTGATCTTAATCCACCAACGTAAATAAGAATCAGTAGATATGTGTATAACATATCTGAATTCTGAAGATAATGAATGATAAAAGCCACGGAAAAAAAAAAACATTTTTTTATCTGTCCGCATAGTTTACTTCAGTAAAAAAAAATTCCTTTATTTTTTGGGAAATTCTAAGCAAGCATATGTATACATTTTCTGAATACCTTTCTGAATTCAAAATTCATTTCGAAACTAGGATGTGAAAAAACAAATATAATTGCTAACTGGTTACCCATGTAAGTTAATCCTAAGCAAGATGATTCATGCTCATAAAAGGTTTACTAAGATAGATTAAACAAAGCTTAGACAACAGCTCACCGGAGTTTTATTTAGGTGCAAGAAAAGTAAAATAAGGATGAAGGTTAAGCCAAGACCATCAAACTAAATGATTTTTGGATTGATAACATAGAAATGGAAGAAGACATTCGCACAAAGTGGCTGGCTACTCTCAAAATTACTTGAATACAAGAATTCTCATGCACATTTATGTAATCGTCCAAAACAGATTAGCAGTAACAACATAAAAGGAATAAGTAAACAAAAAAAGAAAATTTATATTGAGAGTGAAAATTAGGAGAAACAAGTATACAAACATCAAGGGAACATGTAATATTTGCCACACTAATGCAGGCTCACCTTCAAACGCTGGTTCCTTTGACCCAACCCGACCAAAACGGGTAACTCGGCATTCTCTCTAAGCTCTCTCTCTGGTCTACAAGCTCCTGTAATCAATGACTGTCACTTCTTCCTCTGGCGCATCTAAGTCTTGGTAGCTGCACCATTTCCTCATACAATTAGTTTTTTATAGATACTGCACTCTTGTTCTAGACTGAACCTGTGAACCACGTTTGATAAACAGGCAATATGTGATGATGATACTCATAGCATAGAGTGAAGCACGTGATTACCTGCGTAGCCGTCTAGGATCCTGTCTAAAGGCCGGAGATAAAAGAAATGGGGCGGGTCCACCTCTGCCGCTGCCGCCACCTTCAAAAGGAGGATTGTTGGGTCCTCCACTTGGATCTCGGAACATCTGCATCGCATACTCAGGCGGTGCTGGTACAAATGGTCCCAATGGCCTGCCCACATCCATCATCAGTCACACATCATTACAGATCATTGAGAAAACACAGCAACTCTTTATTTTACATGAGAGAGAGAGCCTACCCGGCACCAGGAACAGGCATCAGTACTGGTGGTGGGTTTACATCAGACGAAAAGGAAGGAACATGAATGCCGCCTTGTGCACCAAATGCATCGTACCCACCTTCCTCGGGGTTTGCACCCTCAGGACCATCACTTCTCTGCTGATCCTCCGGCCTATCATTTCTGTCATTACCGTTACCCCGTCCGTCACGCTCTCTACGTCCTCCTCTATCATCCCTCAGTCTGCTCTCCATGCCTGGTTTACGTCTCATAGGTCTATCTCTCTGTCAAAAGTATATTTCACCAGCGTAAGTAAAACTCAATAACAAAGCTACACAAGTAAAAACCCAAAAGTGAACAGACTAGTCAACAATAAAAAAAGATCATGTACCGGGCCAGGTTGCTGCGTCACTGGTTGTCCTCCAGGAGCATTCGGATCACTGCAAATGGCACATAATATTTTTCATTACGAACCCGTCTGAAATGACAGAAGAGGAATCCAAGAGAAAAAAACCATACATACTTCATATAGTTCTGAAAATACAGTTCTTCCCGCAGTTTGACAGTCAGATCCACGACGAGCTCAGTGTGTTTCAGCTTGAGATGTTTGTACACAAATTCAGCAGCATGAAACAGCTTCGTGCAGCCTTTAGCTCCACAACCATATTTCCAACCATACTTCTCATCCCTAATCTTACGGACATGTGGATCTAAAACTTCAAGAGCCGCAGCATCTATCTTCTCTCTAGCAGCCATCACTTCCAAGGGATCTTGACCTTTTAACCTCTCCTGCCAATGAGAGTCGAATTTCTTTTCGCTTTCATCTCCTTTTGCATCAGAGCCTTCTACTTCGGCTCTTACATGCCTCAGACCCTTAGCTTCATTTGTTTCAACTTTTCCGTAATAGTCCACACCGTGAACACGCCATAGATACGTGAGAAGCATGTCAATAGATCAGTCAAACCTGGACGTGCCTGAGGATCAAGACTGCAACACTGGCAAAGAATTTCAATCATCGGTTTAAACTTCCCTCCAGGTTCGGATTCTATCATAGAACTTAATTTATCTGCAATACATGTGTACAACACCAAGAAATCCTCAATCCCCTCTTCACATCCTTTTGCATCCACACAATTTAAACTTTCAATCAACTCCTCAGGAAACCGTTTTCTAAGATGAAGCTTGAGAAGAAGCAAACAAACTGGCCACACATCAGAGCTATACGAAACCAAATACTTTGAGCTGGCATCTTTTATCAACATATTATCTTCTTTCAACAATCCAAACAACACCTCTAAGCTCACAAAAATCCCCTTCTGTAGCAATCGAACCAAAATCAATCCCATTTCTCGAGCACCAACTGTTTCTTCAACGATAAGTCGATGCACATTCCTTCCAGTTTCCATCCACTCAATCAAATCAACATACGCATTCTCAAATTCGTCAAACTTCACACAAGAAACGCTCAAACAGCCTGTGATCACCCGTTCCTTGTGCAGACCGAGAAGTGCCTCACATATTTGCATACCAATCATAGCTAAACGTAAAGAATCATCTTCAGTGAGATTCTCGAATTCCTCCAACGAAAAGCTACCAAGCTTCTCGCCCACTAAATACAAAATCCCATTCTTCAAATCACCCCACAAGCCAAAAACTTTAGAAACACCTCTCTGTCTAACAGAGATGATCGTATCAAGCTCATCTCTTTCCTCCTCTCCCATATCCCACAAACAATTCATCATCCTCTGTACATAACTATACTTGAGGACAGAATCGCAATCATCATGATCGAACGACGCAACCCGTAAAAGACTCACCTTCGAATCATCCCCAAGACGTCCACTCAAAGAAAAATCACTACCTTTACTCTCTCCCTCCACGGAAACGGCGTCGTGCAGGAGGATACGGTCCTTCCAAATGGCGTAGAAGTCGTCGGGCCATGATCGAGTGACAAATTCAACGGGTTTTTTCGAATTCCGGCCAGGTTCCAGCGAATTCTGCGAGCTTGAAGGGAACAGTCTGAGGAGATCGATGTTTTTGGGGAGAGCTGATGGTCCCTGAGGTGGAAACTTGACGAGAACTGTGCACGCCGGACATCGGATTGTGTCCGGGAACTTCTTGGGAAGGCTCCTCAGACACTCCTCGCACGCCGAGTGGCCGCAATTGAGCACGCGAGGAACTGTGCAATCGCCGTCGAAAGACTGTAGACACACCGGACACTCCGGTGGCTCCATCACCAGCGATTCGAAGCTCCGATGAACAATTGAAACGATATCACGCGGTCATGAGGGTAAATATGTAATATGGACGATAAAGTAAGGAGTTTATGGTCATGTTTTACTCTCACATTTCCAAATCTTATTTTTTTCCCTTACCCTCTGAATCGTCGTCGTCGTCTTCTTCATTCCGATTTACCGTGGAACTGAGGAAGTGACGAGAAGACGGGTAAATTCCGATTTGCTAGGGGTTTCAAGGTAATCAATCACATTCTCGGATCATACAGATTTTTTCGATTTAGATTCCTGTTTCGAATGTGAATGTTGACCCGTTTCTCGCTTTGTTTCCTGACACAATCTTTCATTTCCCGTTGGGTATAGGAGAAAGTTAGAATCAATGGCGGGAGCTGGATCATCCATGCTCGGCTCTATTCTTCTGTTTACAGTGGTCCTCTCGCTTCAAGAAGTGTACCGAGGGAAATTAGCTTCTTCTGAGCTGTTCACGATCCTCGGAGGATTCACTAGCTCCCTCCTCTTTCTGTTTTCTCTGACTGTAAGTTTCCTTAGCTGCAATACACTTTTCTCTGACTTTCTCCTTGTAGTCTATTTTAAACTCGATCCTTTTTGCAAATTTGTGATCTTTGGTTCTCAATCTTAAAACATTCAAATCAAGTTACGTTCTTGCGTTACCAACTTCCTCTTCATTGTTTGCTGACGATCTGTATTGATGCGGTTTCGTTGCTTGCAGTTCATCGGAAATTTCCAGGAATCTTCTGGCATGAAGAGTAGCTGGGGTTCAGGTAGGTTTGATCTGTTTTTTTTTTCCAATTCATTGTCATCTCTCAATTCATCTGTCAGTTGTTATACGTAGCAAGTTCTGCAATTTACTAAAGTCATTTTTTATCATGGCAGTGATTCTTGCAGAAATCATAGCTCTTATCGCTGCTAGCACGGTGCATCGTGTTTGTATTACAACCTGGTAACACACTAGTTCTGCTCCATTTATACCAATCGTCACTGTTAACATCATTTCACAACTCTCTGGCTAAAAACTGTGACTGATTTGCTATCCAGTGTTCTTCTTTTTGCAGTTTCGTGTTCTCTGCTGGTCTGTTATACGAGATGAACAAGGTCTCAGGGTACATGCTCTCCAAAGCTGAGACTAAATCTAAAAGGCACTGAATCAAAGATGGGAATTGGGTAAGTGCATGATGTTTTAGCAGTAAAGGATTCAAGGATACTTTTAACTTCATGAATCAAGAAACTTAGGATTTTCCGTGTCTTGTGCTTGGCTTTGATTTGTAGCTGTGGTTATGTTCTTAGAGAAACTATATGAAAGTATATCAAGAAGACAAGAATTGAATTATGTTTGTTGGAATGTAATGAGCTTATATCATTGCCAATCACACTTCAAAGTTCAATCAACGCACCGTTTTGTGATAACAAGACAACTGGACTTAATTTTCTCATCCACCTTAATTTTAGTATTTGGTACCTAATGTGGATATTGAAGCAGTTGTTTATTTGATTTTAGTGAATCTTTAGAAAAAAATGCTGTATTTTGGCAGTTGATATGATATAGCTGATAATCTATAACTGGGAAACTTATGTAACATATAACATTCGTAATCTATTAAATTAGAAGAAAAACCAATAAATTTATGTAACAAAAGCAACAAAGTTTTGATGATAGTTGAATAAAAAGACAAAAGCTTAAACATGATAAATTAGCTAGAGAATGAAACCTGGTAAACAATTTATAGAAGAAGATATGGTGGGTTGATGGATGTTTTAACCGCGCAAAGACTCCGAGAGAGTTCGGTCGCTGACACTAGACAACTCGCCAATATAGCTCAAATCATGTTGGCGAGTCGTCTACTGTCAACGACCGGACTCTCTCGGAGCTCCTGGATCTCCGTCGTTGGAACTACTCAGCACAAAGTTTCCGTTACCGAACAGCTTTGCCATCGGAGACCCTGAACCAGAACTTGAGCTTGACCACACGATCCGGTTATCAGATGGGTCCCGGATAACGAGTGTTGCTTTGCTTCAGATATTTCTAAGGTTCTATTGTAGTTGTTGAGAGGCTCGTCTCTGTTGGCAACCCAAACGTAGCTTCTCACAAGCTCGAATACTCCTCCCGCAGAAACAATAGTTCGTTTGTTTGATGGCGACAAGGAATCCGACTCATTGAAAACACTGACATCAAACTGAGAGGAAAAACGAAGAAAACAGATTATCCAAACAAGAGAATGTATCAAACCCATCCTCACACACAAACAGAAAAGAAAAAGATCTTCTGAAAAAATCCAGTTTTCGACAAGTCTTATATAGAGATAGAGAGAGCAGGAGTCTCCATGTCCACATAAATGGCATTATGGCACCAAGTACAAACGGTATGGGTAACAAAGATGGTGTTTTAAATGTATCTTTGAAAAAGTGTAAATTGTTTCTCTTTAAATGTATGGGTAACAAGGGTCTCACGATACATGCTCTCTCCAAAGCTGAGTCTAATCTAAAAGGCACTGAATCAAAGATGAAAGAAGGATCTTATTCGGTTATTCCAATATATCGTGATTAGATATGATTTGACACTTAGTTGGATTTAATAATTAAAAGAACACTCCCTTTTGCAAACATCAGGAGAAACAACCGAACAGAAGCAAACTATTGTTCTTGTTTTATTTGTAAGTGCATGATGTTTTGGCACTAAAAGATTCAAGGATACTTCCAACTGCATACATCAAGAAACCTAGGATTTTCCGTATCTTATGCTTGAGTCCGATTTGTAGCTGTGGTTATGTTTTTTAGAGAAACTATGGGCCTGATTGGATGTAGCTGTAGCTTTAATTTTTTTGCTGTAAATTTTACGCTATAGAATTTTTGGCTGTAAATATAGATTTTAGTGCTGTAGGATTTCTTATTGTAGATTGTGTCATTAAATATAGCATTAAAACAGAAAAGATAAGATATAGAAATAATAGATTAAAAAATAAATATTGAAAATAATAANCCCGCCAGTTCCGCCATTCTCTTTGTTTTCCGGGACTCGAACCGTGGACTCTCTTCAAGACTACTCATGTCATGATCAGTTATCTCTTTCGAGCGTTTTATAACGAGCTTCTTCTGAGGCTGCTCTCTCTCTGTCGGCGGTCGTATCACGAGATGAGGCCTACGAGATTCCGCTTGGTCTCTATCCAAGCTCACTGATGGCTGCGGGATAGAAATAGTGTGCCTGCTTGACGCACCTTGATTTCTCTCTGTACTAGACAAGGGTTGTCCAGAAACTGAAGGCTTGTGAGTTTCGCTCTCCGCTCTCTCTCTGCTGTAAGTAGGCATCAATGACTGCGAAGGTCTGTCAGATTCAACCTTTGATTCTTTAGGTTTTGGCTTACTGGAAATCTTGAGTTTGCTAAACTTGGACGTGGACTTCGTCTTAGTGTCTATGTCAGACACTGCTGCTTGCTCAGAACTTCCTGGAGCTTCAGAACCAGGGTTATCTGACATCCCTCCAGCAGGGATACCATATCTAAACCTCAGAGGGAGCGTCCCAGTTTTGGAACTTGAATTATCTCCCTTCGGAGCTTCATCTACAGAAACTTTCATTGCGCTTTTTGGCGCAGCCTTGGTGTTCTTGATAGGTTTCAGCTTCTTTGTCTGACCTGATTGTTCAGAAGAACTCGGTTTCCCCACAGACTTGTCTATATCCATACCTTCGGGCTGTGATTCTGTATTTTCTCTGTATCTTGGGCAGTGTTTATTGGTTCTCATGTGCCCATGCTGGCCACAGGCTCCACAAACAAAGTTCTCTCTCGCCGATTTCTTTTCCTTGAACTGCTGCTATGGAGCGAGAGAACAGACAACACCTCAGAATGACCATAAAAATAGCAGAATAAATAAATTATAGCATGTTGTACAGATTTGATTGTGTACCTTTAGGTTATCGTTCACTATTTTGAGCTTCGGCACTTGGCCCAAAGAATTGCCGCTCTCCTTTACCTGTTTACCTTTGGGGGTCTTAATCATTGGGATATCAACCTGCCGGGGAATACAAGATACAAGTTTGTCAGTACATGCAAGACCTCATGATTTGACACATTAATTGCAAAAGGGTTTTCCAAATTTCCAAACTTGTACTCACATTTCTGGTGTCTTTGACGGTGCTCTCATTTAGTAAGAAAGATGCATCAGGTTGGGTGGCAATAGGTTTCTTGTCAATGACAGTGGCCTTTCTTACAGGTTCAGCAATCTGAAAACCTATATTGGGCCGTGGTGGAGGAAAGGATCCCATTCCTTCTCCCACAGCTCTAGTCTTCTTCTTTTTCTTCTTCTGATCCTCTTCTATATAAAGCATCACCACTTAGTGATTCATTGACAGAAAAAAAAAAAGTCTTCAGCTGATAGCACAAATATTTAGTTGAAAGCACGTACCTTGCATCAGCAATCGGCATAACTCCGCATATTCAGTAGCTTCATCTTCAATTTCTTCGTCCGTCTCAACTTGAGATGGCCGCCGTCTCATCTTGAGACCCTTAACTCCATCCAATTTGTCATTCTTAGACATATTAGATTCTTCCCCATCCCCACCTTCCTCGGCATCGAGTAAATTTTCCAGATCTCCGGCAAAGGAGTCCAAGTCACTGTTTGCCTCATTTTCGCTTTCATTCTCATCACCATCAAAAGCTGAAAGGGACAAAAGTTGCCTATCCCAAATCTCCTGGCACTTTTCTCGGGCCTGTTGTTGCATCTGCAGGAAAGACATTCTCTGGCCACGGGCATACTTTCCTATGGTTGTAGGATCAACCTTAACACCAGATGCAGCCTGCTCACTTGATAGCTTCCGTATCATAGCTATACGGTGCCATCGAGTTTGTTTGGCAATTATCTCATCAGGAACATTGAACTTGAGAAGAACCTATAAACAGATCAGCCAAACCATATCTTAATTAAAATGATCAATGGCCTTTATTTTGAAGATGTCTAGAAGAAATGGGCAACTTGTACTTTTAGGTTCTCAGACAGTCAGACATGAAATCAAGTAAGTGTACCTCTCGAGTCAGACATATGAAATCAAGTGAGTGTACCTCTCGAGCCGCGTCCATGCTTAATCTGCGAAGATCAGCATCGGTACCAGTGACAGTTGGGGCTCCACGACCAGCTGCTGCCTTTTTCTTCATATGCCCGGCCGCAGCTGGTGCTTTTGGTGCAGCTCTCACAAAGCTGAATCCTAGACCCCGTCCAGACGGATCGCCAACCCCAGTGATTTCCAAACGCTCTATATTTGCTCTGTCCTACTCAAACCCACAAATAATTATCAAATATGTGAGCATCGAACCGGCCAAGTAACGAAAGGGTGAGAAATGATTCATCAGAGGCATCACTAATAGGATTCGAAAAGATTCTTAACAAAACTAGAGGAGGTAGAGCTGAAATTAGATTTTCTAGGGGATGATTGGTGGGAGCTGTGGTTGCTCTCCACAGCTCTATATCTCTCTACAGCACTCCAAAATTACCAATCATGCTCTCATTTTATCTCTTTCCATTTTTGAAACATAGAGCAATTTTATTTATTTATGGAAGTTCCGTAGCTGTGGAAAGCAATTTTTCTATAGCACTAAATTTAGTGCTCTCTAAATTCTCTCTCTTCTCTTTCCTTATTATTTTGTCTATATTCTTTTTTTAATCTCTTATTTCTATATCTTCTTTTTTTTGTTTTAATATTTCATTTAATACACAATCTACAAAAAAAAAATCTTAGAGCACTAAAAACTAAAGCCACAGCACTAAAACCTACAGCCTAAACTCTACAGCCAAAAATCTAAAGCCACAGCCACAACCAATCACGCCCCTAGTCTTGCTTGCAAAAAGCTAATAATGTATCGTCTGCCATATCTACGAAAGAGAACTGATAATGACCACACCTTTTACAGATGAGGGATGATGACTAACTCCTACGTTCCTAACATTGCATAACATAAGTAATGCTCACCTGATTTGTACAAGCAACAAAATTACTGCTTAGATTCCATGGAGTAATCTGCAACTCCCTCTCAATATGTGATGCAGCGGCAAGGGCAATAGCTTCATCTGGGAGCTGAGCCAATGCATTTGATATGCTGGCAGGCAATGTAAACCGGGTAATCCCTAAATGTTTGAGCCGGTACAGCCCAGCTAGCATACTCTCATAGGAACACACCTACGTCACCAAAATTTAGAGAACATGCATCTTAAAGAGTATACTTCCAGTAATAGGTACCAAAGGCTCATTAACTCTGAGCAGTTGAAAACAGATGGCGTGTATTTCAACTATGAAATGAGCTCAGAGGAGAAACTTACATGCTCTGGGGCCACCAGCTTTTTGAGCTCATTCTCAGGTGGAATTTGTTAATATTCATAGATTTCTTTATTCTAATTGTTCAACAATTTTAACCTTGCTTTCAAGCTGATTTTACAAAAAAGATTTGAAGTATTTTTTGCGTTGATATAATCGATGTAATGTTGAAATTCATAGATTATATTGATCATGATGATTCTTATATGTTCTTGTTTTTCTTTTCTACAATTATGGAGTAATAATTTTGTAATTTTTGCATCAATGTAGATCTTATAAACCGCTAATGAGGTACATGCACACGCCTCCTTGTAAAGAAGTAATTTATATATCTTCTTGTAGCTAGTAGCAGGTTTAAGGCAATCATAATCTGTCAAATTTATAGTGATCCATATCACCGGAGAGCCATTTTCATATCCAATACTCTAGTTCTCCACCCGTCCAAAAGGATGACACCTCACACCGTTTTGATTTAAAAAAAAAAACATTTTGGCCAACCATATAATTCCTGAAATGTAAATGTGTTTCATTTCAAATTAAAATTGGAATTATATGGCAGTCAAAATACTGTTTATTTTGGAATTGAAAGGGTGCAAAGTGTCAATCTTGTGGATATGTGAACAAATGAAGTATATTCTGAATATGAAGGCTCTCTGGTTGTATAGATTTCTACTGATTTTGCAGATTTTTATTGTCTATAACCTGCTTTAGCTACAAGAAGATATATGATTATTTCTTTCACAAGGCTCGTGCCGGTTTACAAGAAATTGTCAAAGACTGCAGACACGAGTCTCACTATCCAAAGGTTATTACATAGGCGAACGCGAGAATATATTTAGCATGTGGCACATACTAATAATTTTTTTAATCAGAAAATATAGTACTGATTACAAAAAGATGAAAAAAAATTAAAAATTGAAATTCATAAGCATTTTGTCACAAATTCATCACTTTCACATTTATTTTCAGTGTAATCTCTAAATAAGTAGTCTAATACATCCAACTATCTATTGCTGGTTATTCAAAAAATCACGACCTTGTGCTGTTGCATTTTAAAATTTTACTTATCAAGAATTGTTTTTATACATAGTTCTTCATTATTCACGTATATACTAACAATATGTTTCTGTATAAAAAAATAACATAGTATGGTGGGAATGTGCTTCCATCCTGACCAAGACAGAATTCTCACAGTTCGTGAATGCGCTCGATCTTAGGTAATACAAACTCTTATAATGTTCATAGTAAGTGTTCTCTTCATGTCAAAGCAATTGGAAATAACAGTGATTGTTATCTCTTAATAGACATGAAATTGTTGGTTTCTCTATTAAAAAAACTTGCAGGGGTCTCCGGATAGCTATGAGTTCGTAGGGAAAATAGGAGACAAGCATATGTAGATCGGGAATGCAGTGAATCCATTTGCCTTTACTCTTGGTCGTAAGCTCAAAGAAGCCTTGCATCCCAAGAAGCCTCTTCAAATTTGGGATTGTTAGAAGCACCCATTATAGTAGTCATTGTAATTCTCCTCTTGTAAGTTCAAAACTCATAATCTAGAACTGAGAGGGGCTAAGTCAGAAATTTGGTATTGTAAATTTGAAATCTCCGTACAAGACAATATTTTCATTTCTAAAAAAATCGATCTGAAATCATGAACATGACGTATATCAAGATTTTGCTGAAGTTTTACATAGTTAATCCCATGCACCAAGCCTTTCATAACCTTAATCCTCTATCTAATCTTCAAAATTTTGCTGAAGTTTACATAGTACATCACTTATTAAAAAAATTAAAGTTAAAAACAGCTTTGTTTCTCATTGGATCTTTTACGATTCCCTTGGTACTACAAAAATGTCAATTTTTTTGTTTTAAATACCAATTTGACTTCAGTTAGATGGTGTACAGAAGAACACATAGTTTTCGTGATTGGATTTGCCTTTGATCAGACAATAACGTCCATTGTTAATTGGTGACAACCGGTAAAAGAGAAGAATAAATATTCGCCTCTACATTCAAAGCTAGAATCTCATCTATGGTCCAGATATCTTAACTTATTAGATCGACTACCAAGATTTTTAGCACTCTGTTTGGAGTTGGCTGTGATGGCTGATAGGCTGTGTTATTATCGGTTCTTGATATTTGTTTTAATCTTCTTTTATCAAGTCAAGCGTATTTAAAAAAAAATATGTAGTTTTTTTCTTTCTGTCGTATGTTTATAGGTTTTAAGTTGTTTCAAAAGAGAACGAGCCATTTGAAGTGAAAAGGATAACTAATCGTGCATAAGTTAAGGCATATGGAATAAGGCCTTGCCGTTGTTGGTTAAAACTGAAATTTGGACACAACTTAGCCACGTTACCCACGTAGATACTTAACTTTCATTCGATTGAGTTTAGATTTTGTTATTAAGAGCTATTGGGATGAGATCTATGTACCATACGAACTAATTAGGATAAGATTTTCTAAGCCGTGAAATGTATTTTACCTTATTCTATAATGACATCCATGATATCTACTTTTACTTTGACTCCTTGTATGTGTACGTAGTTCCTCGATTGCATTCTTAGTATTGCAAAGGGATTTCATAGTTTGATTGATTGAGACATTAGTTTAGAGAATTATCAATTGGTTTCTTCATCTAAGTTATTTTCAATGCTAGAACTTGGCTAGCGACCCTGTTCTAGATCTTGGGTTGTTTAATATATATATACAACGACTGTTTTATTAACATCAAATATAAATAATTATTTAAAAATGACCCCCACGCATAGCGCGGCTAAGAATCTAGGATGCAACTAATTCTTCAATACCCAATAAAAGTGGAAGTTATTGTTATTGTTCAATCGTGAACTTATTGCTTCTTCAACGTTTTTTTCTTTCCAAAAGAGGATAGATGATCCATAGATTTTAGGCATGGAGTCAAAAATAATAGAAACTCTATAATAGAGTTGGTTTCTCTCTATTCTCTATTTTTCGCTCTTAAAAAAAGTATCATATGTCTACTTTATACTTGTACGTTTTATTTATAAAAGGTTTTAATTTGATCCCACTTATTTTATTATTTACAAAACTTGTCTATATCATGGTATCATTTGTTAGGTGGATCAAGGTAGTCTAAAATAAAATCAACAAGCAAGTGATAACGTATATACTATAATTTAGGTTTTTTCTTGTTTGTAGTTGACAATAAAGACTATTTTATTATTTTTGCTTACATCATAAATAAAAATATTTAAAATTTGAAGGACCAGTGTAAAATAAAAAAAATCAACTCTAACATAGTGGAAGAAATATAGTTCCTACAAATATAGTTTTTTTCTATTTTAGAGTAAGAAATAGAGAAGAGTTAGAGATGGAACTCTAAAATAGAGTTTAGAGTCCACAATAGAAGTGGGTTAGAGTAGAGATGCCCTTAGTCTAACTCTACATTTTGAGTTTGAGAATATTTTCTTAATATTTTCCCTGATAGTTAAATTGTTTCTGTTTGCCAATGCTTATAATTCATATTTACTTCTTTTTTTTTTGTTAAAAAATAATTCATATTTACAAACCTTCTACTATTTTCTTACTTGCTTTGTTTATAAAACTAACAAAGTGTTTTCGTCTTAGTTAACCTCAACTCTCAAACATAATTTTTGTATGATCATTGGTTCCTTTGGACTCGATCATGTTTATTTTACTACGATTTCACAATATACGTTTTTTTTTATAAAGACGATTTCACTATATATGTACTTGCACTACGTATAATAAGTGGATTAAAACCGGATCAATGACACATATGCCCCTTTGTTTCTCTATACAGATGTACATATATTGTCTTGCTAATAATTTAGATAGATAATTTGTATCTTCTCGTATTTATTGAAGTTTTACCTTAGAAAACAAAGATAGAGTATATTTTATTCTGAAAAAGATGGGCTCCAATCGTGGGGAAAGTCTTCTCCTTATCTGGTCGACTGTTTGACATTATCCTACATCTTGGGTTGCTTACTTGCTTGTTCTGTTTTTCTTATTCTTTTGTTTAATCTTTGTGGTTGATCTGGTTCTTTATGGTTTCCGTAATTCACTTTTCATAATGAAAGCCCTTTAAAAAAATATATATATTTTTTGTTTATTCAAAGATTTATGTGTATCGCCTTCCAAATAGTACTACTGGTAAATATGTAGAGTTATATGAATTTATGATTATTATGATTGTACCTTAAAATTAATAAGGTTTGTAATTTCGTAATTTAATGTTTGAAACTTGTTAATGAGGTTTTTTCTTTTTTTTTGCTAATTTTTTTTTTAAACACTAAAATCGTTTTTTTTTTAATCAATGATGTTGCTGCTGACTAGAATAGCTAAAGGAGAAGGGCACACACGTCAAGGAACTTAAAACTTCAACCAATTAATTCCACGCAAACAAAAATAAAAATGAATGGTACATAATTCTAATAGTTTACTTGAATTAAAAAATTGCTTCGAGTTTGAAAGCAAATATTCGTAAGGAGTTTACTTTAATCTCCATGCAAGGACCAGACACTTTTTTTTTTGGCGAAGTCTCACGCACCCAAACCCTTCTATATAAACCTCTCCAAGTTCATCATTTAATTATCATCAAATTACACAGAAAACCCATCAAAGAAACCATGAATCTCTCATCCATGGCAATTTCTAAAGCTCTCTACTCAATAGCCATTCTTGTCATTTTCTTTGTCGTTTCGAGTAGCCAAACTGTCTGCAATCCACAATGCAAGGCTAAAGAACCCTTCAACTGTGACGATACTCTTTTCTTCAACCGAGCTGGATTTCCAAAGAATTTCACTTTTGGTGCGGCTACTTCTGCATATCAGGTATGATGGCTTTTG